TCCTATAGCCAATCAAAGTGCTTGAAAAGTTTGTCGACCGACACATGCAATATCGGGCACACACCGCCATTTCATTTGTGCGTTTTGGCCGTATGACGAATTTTTCAAGCTTGTTGATTGGCTATAGAATAGAGAGACATGCTTAAAGAGACATGCTGATAATTAAATGTGATCATAGGCCTGTTCTTTTTGGCTGAACTTGTGCATCAGTTCATCTTTCTTCCTCTTCTTTCTTCCTGGAGAGAAAAGGAAGAAAGATGAACTGGTGCAAAAGTTCAGCCAAAAAGAACAGACCTCATGACATCTAGGCTGCGTCTACTTGACGCTACAAACGCTTCGAAGCGTTTGAAGCGTCAAGTGGACCGCAGCCCTAGTACGTACTTTATAAAGTATTTGAATCATGTGTGAAAGGCCGTGGCTATTATTATTTTTGCTAAAACCATGGATCTTACGATATGTGTAACAATGGAATGGCGGTTTTCAGACCGATGGTATTAAAATTTTCGCCGAAACGGTAGTTTTCAGGTCTATATGCAGCACCGAATGGAAGTTTTCGGATCAGTAGTATAAAATTGTTATAGAAACGGTAGATTTCAGGTCTATAATAGAAACGGATTGACATCAGAGATTGTTTAGTTTTCGAAAAATTGAACAATAATAGTTACGTTTTCGAATAATCAATTTGGTAAGGCTCATCTTAAAAGACACAAAATTTCTGTAATAATTTAGAATAAAGCCTTGACCATAAGGACACTTCTTGTTCGCTTAAAATATAAATTTTGGTCAGCAGTTTGTCATATGATTCTTAGATCGTCGATCATGCAATGCTGAACGCTTAAAGACACGTGCTGATAATTAAATGTAATCATGACATCTAGTTTGTGTTTCATAAAGTATTTGAATCATGTCTGAAAGGTTGTGGATATTATTTTTGCTAAAACCGTGGATCTTACGATATGTATAACAATGGAATGGCGGTTTTCAGACCAATGGTATTAAAATTTTTGCTGAAACGGTAGTTTTCAGGTCTATATGCAGCACGGAATGGCGGTTTTCAGATCAATAATATAACATTTTTACTGTAATGGTAGATTTCAGGTCAATATTTCACAACAGATTGACAGTTTTGAGATTGTTTATTTTTCGGGAAATATATATATATCACACGAACACTTCTTTTTTACTTGAATGCCCGATTTTATTCCACAATTTATCGTATACTTACAGCTTATCCAATACTAGATGTCATGATTACATTTAATTGTCAGCATGTCTCTTTAAGCGTTCAACATGGCATGATCAACGATCTAGGAAACATATTTCAAACTGCTAACCAAATTTATACGTTAAGCGAACAAGAAATGTCCTTATGATCAAGGCTTTCTTCTAAAGCATTACAAAAATTCTGTGTCTTTTAAGTTGAGCATTATCAAACTGATTATTCAAAAACATAACAATTATTGTTCTATTTTTCGAAAACTAAACAATCTCAGACGTCAATCCGTTTCTATTATAGACCTGAAATCTACCGTTTCAGTAACAATTTTATACTACTGATCCGAAAACTGCCATTCCGTGCTGCATATAGACCTGAAAACTACCGTTTCAACAAAAATTTTAATAGGGAGTTTTTGCAATAACGTGAATTCAGATACGGTGAACGCTAAAGTCACATGACTTAAACCGTATTTCATCTTTACGTGCTCTAACCAATAAGAGTTTTTGCGCAACGGACGCAGGACGCTACGGTGACATAAGATGGAGGACTTATTACAGCTTGCCATGTACGATTTTAATTTCGTGGAAGATGTTATTATACAAGAGTTGTTGGCACCACGTAATAATGCCTTTATTAGAAATATGCAATATGAAGGATTAGATTTAAATAATTTGATGCCACAGGAATGTAAAGCAAAATTTCGATTTGAAAGAGAACACATTGGAAGACTTGCAGCTGCTCTTGGTATACCTTACCAAATAGAAACAGAAAATCGATATGTCGTTTCAGGTAAGTTAACTGATTTATAGGATTATGATATATAAGCTAATCTGTAAAACACTCACGTGAAAATACAAAGATTCTTTTGAATTTTTTATAGGTATAGAAGGTTTATGTATATACTTGAGACGTTTAGCATATCCTAATAGACTGTCAGATTTAGAAATTAAATTTGGCCTGTCTGTTCCTTATCTCTCAGTAATTTCCAATACTGTAATGAGACTAATTCAACGACAGAAAGGACATTTATTGACAGATCTAAATAATCTACCATGGCTTAATAGAAACAAGCTCGAATATTATTCACAGGTGAGAGGCTACAATTAAAAACAAAACTATTAACAAAGAAAGGTTAATGAGAACAATAATGAGCGTTATATATTTATATTTTCTCAATACATTCTTTTTATACAAGTTACACATTAACTTTCCAGACAGACATTTTGGCTCATGGATTAATCTACAAAATTGTCTGTATTTTATAAATGTGCTCGTTAGCTCTGTCCACCTCGAGACCTTGATATATCGTCAAGAGCTTGATATAATTGATATGATGTATATATATAAAATATCTTAAATGGTTTTGTTACAATAATAAGTGAAATTTATTTTTTTTT